TCCGGCCACGCCGAGGCCGAGGAAAACGAGAGGGATCGAGGGAGGGGTATCCCCCGGAGCCCCTTCGCGAAGGTTCCGGAATGGCGGTAAGACTTTCCTTTCTGTCCCCTTCCATGTATTGTGAAGGGATGATCTCTCGCGCCATGAATTCTTGATACTAATAGTCTGGTCCGCTGCTACGGTGATTCCGCGCGTTAGATTGGGTCCCTGATGTCGCGAGGTTGGGGTTTTTTTCTCCCTTTCTGCTGCTTAACGCTAGGGTTTTCTTAACACTGGATCGAGTTAGAACCTGCATTTTTTATGCTATTTCGGGATGGATGGTGGTTTGATCCTATTGTTGGTCGAGGTGCCTGATGCTTAGTTCTTAATTCGTGTCACAGCACTGGGTTAGGGAGAGTGATGGCAGTGACAGCTTCGAATGGGATAGCGATGGCAATGGGGAGGAGGCAGCGAGCTTCAACGCTGCTGGTGCCAGTTCATCAGCAATGACATCAACGAACACTGATGCTCCAGGCCCATCGACACGGGTAAGCCAGCTAACTGATCCATGCATATGCAACAATGTGTGAACTCAGCAGCTAGTTGTTCTTCAGTTCATGTTACTCAGGGTTGTTCAAACCACTTGTGCCAAACTGGCCGGAGTGGGGTGTGTGTGTGTGTGTGTGTGTGGGGGTGTTGGATATATATGGTAGTCATGAACAGAAACAGGATCATGATTAGTATATAGCGACATGAACACTCTCAATGTTACTGTTACCTTGTTCCTAGTGGCTACGATTGTAATTTCTGTTTGTTTGTGGGGCTGATTTGAAGGTTGCTAATGGCAATGGGAAGGCTGGGCCATCTGCCGCTTTGGTTCAGAAGTATATGGACATGGGTTTTGCAGAAGAGATTGTTCTGAAGGCCATGAAGGACAATGGTACTTAGCTAATAACCCATTTCTTCTCATTTACTTAGATTCTAGGTGATTTTATATACTCTATCTGACAGTTGCTTTTTCTTTCAGGGGATAATGGAGCAGATTCATTAATTGAGCTTCTTCTTACTTACCAGGTATTCATTGTGTTCCTACTTCTATTAGTTATTCTTTGATGATGTTGTTGCATGGTGTCAAAGAGGATTTGTATTTACGAAGTGATGCCAAATGCAGGAACTAGGCAATGATCTCAAAGTGGATAATGGCTTTGCTTCTGGTTGTGTCCCCCAAACTGTTGACGATAGTGATGATGATGACATTCTAGAAAACTGGGATGATGAGGATGCTGGTGGTAGAAGCACAAGGGTTGCTAACTCTTTTGATGATTCTGGAGACGAGGTATTTTGATGCGCCCCCTTGGTGACTGTATGCATTTACTTTATTATTTTGAGAAACCTGCTATGTATTTAGTTTGTTTCAATCACATTTACTTCTGCATTAAACTTGTTTAATGTTAATCCATTAAGTAGACTACTTATCCTGAAGACCATAAGGTTCCTTACTTTTACTTGCACTTGTTCCTTTTGTTTTCAAACAGCTGTTAGCTACATAGCTGTACTAGAAAGCCAATCTACTTTGTTTTTCCGTTATATTTGGGGACAACTGGGTTCTTTTAGGCAAAACAACATGTTCCCATAAAACCAAAATCCTTAATTTTTTAAGAAAATCGTATTGGTAAGACGGTAAGCAAGATAGTTGTGTCAATCATAAACTTGAAACTATTGCGTTTCATCTTATGTGTATGACTAGAACTCTCGTGTTGGTGATATTCTTGAACAAGACACCACCATGGACTAACAAATGAAATTCCAAAATTGTGGGTGGTTCGTTAATGATGAATTTCTTATTTTGTATCTGACATTCATTTCTTTTTACTTAAGTTTGCTGTATCCCCTCCTCCCTGTAATAGCATTCTCTCCTACTGTTTTAATTCACGAAAAAAACTTTAGTTATGGGTTATAATCTACTTCCTTTTTGATACTTATGCAAATCAATCACTGATCCTGAGAATTGGAGGCTCTGTAGTGCAACAACATTCCTGTTCAACTCTAACATTGAACTTGCATTGTGCTTTCTGGTGTTTGGCATGTGACTTCATGTAGCTGAGAGTTGATTGAATTGTTTTCCTAAAATTGTCCATAGTTATGAATTATGATACTTCCCATTTTTATACACATTACAAGAATTGTTGTTTTTGTCCATTGGTTGCAATGCTAGTTTATGTAGCTTGTCAACTGTATTCTAAGTGCTTTCTTGTGCTTTCTACACAGGATTTCTTACATGAGATATCACAGACGGATGAGAAAGTTGATTCCTTAGTTAAAATGGGGTTTCCTGAAGACGAGGCTGCACTGGCTATTACTAGATGCGGTGTGCTCTCTGTGTTGGAGGTACAGAGTGTTTTTACTCAGTCAGGGATGACACACCCAGGCGACTGCTCTTTCATATATAGGAGATAAGTAGCACATTGATTACATTGATGGCTCATTAGAGCATTAACTAAACAGCTAACTGCCTGGGTACTTGCACAGTCACTTGTGCTGCCCAAGGCCTTAATAGCAGAAACATAATTAAGCACAGATAACTAAGTGATAACTGGGAGCAGGACTTAACTTCTACACTCTGAGCCTTTGTTCCATGCTCCTCTGTTTGCCTTAGATTCCTCAGCAAAATAAACATCAATTTCCAACCTTGAAAGTAGGATATGCTCTCATATAGAATAAGTTAGTTGAATAATAATGTTGTCATGTTTAATTATATGTCAAACTTTCTATTGGTTTATCTCCGGATTTTGATAATTTTCCTCAAATGCAGTAAGTTGGAACTCGTAAATTGTCTGCAACCTTTAACTGAGATAACCTAGAATGGTTGATTCTTTCTAAGCTTGATTTACTTTTTGCATCAAGTCTGGGTATCAAAGCAGGCAACCAACAATTTATTATTCTTTTGGGGTCAGAATATTTTAATTGCGTTTGCTGTCAAATAAAACTGTTTTTGCAACGTGTACCACTCAGATTCTGTCCTTGTCCCTGTTTTATTTTAACTTATCTTCAGAGTTTATTATTTGAACTTGTCAAAGTATGCTCCAAATGCCCCTGTTCACTGATCATGCACCTTACGCCATCTACTGTCGTCTGTGGTTTAAAATTACTCAGGGCAGGATGCATCTATTTCTGTTCTGGTGGATTCAATATATGCTTCACAGACCGCAGGAGATGGTTACTGTGGCAATTTGTCTGACTATGAGGTTCGTCTTAGGTGAACTGTCCATACAAGTCTGCAATAAGATTTAGTTCTAATTTAATGGTCTGATAATGGAACTGTGTTTGCAATACTGCAGGATAATTCCTATGGAGGGAGAAACAAAGGAAGGTTCATGGATGGGAACAAAAAAAAGAGAAAGACATATGGTGGTCAAGCACAGGGAAGTAGAGGCCCATTAGATGGTAGCTCTAATGAACCCATGCCTCTCCCACATCCAATGGTTGGATTTAACTTGCCAGACCAGTGGACAAGACCAGTGGACAGATCGCTGCCTTCACAAGCTATGGGTCCACCATACTTCTACTACGAGAATGTTGCTCTTGCTCCAAAAGGTGTCTGGACTACCATATCAAGATTCTTGTATGATATTCAGCCGGAGTTTGTGGACTCGAAGTACTTCTGTGCTGCTGCCAGGAAAAGAGGTTATATACACAATCTGCCACTTGAGAACAGGTCACCTCTCCTCCCCATACCTCCAAAGACAATATCCGAAGCATTTCCTCATACCAGGAGGTGGTGGCCATCATGGGACCCAAGACGACAGTTCAATTGCCTCCAGACTTGTGTGTCTAGTGCAAAACTGTTAGAGAGGATACGTGTAGCCCTTACAAACAGTTCAGATCCACCTCCTCCAAGAGTTCAAAAGTTTGTGTTGGAGGAGTGTAGGAAATGGAATCTCGCTTGGGTTGGCTTAAACAAGGTTGCTCCTTTAGAGCCTGATGAGATGGAGTTTCTACTCGGCTTTCCGAAGGATCACACAAGAGGTATCAGCAGGACAGAGAGGTATCGATCTCTAGGAAATTCATTCCAAGTTGATACTGTTGCTTACCATCTCTCAGCCCTCAAGGATATGTACCCACAAGGCATGAATGTACTGTCTTTATTCTCTGGTATTGGAGGAGCAGAGGTAGCTCTCCACAGGCTTGGTATACGCATGAAGACAGTTATTTCAGTAGAGAAGTCTGAGGTCAATAGGACGATTCTGAAGAGTTGGTGGGATCAGACGCAGACTGGTCTTCTGATTGAGATTAGTGATGTGCAGACACTGACATCTGAGAGGATCGAGGCTTATGTTAGAAGAATTGGCGGCTTTGATCTTGTGATTGGTGGAAGTCCCTGTAACAATCTTGCTGGGAGCAACCGTCACCACAGAGATGGTTTGGAGGGCGAACATTCTTCATTATTCTACCACTATGTTAGGATCTTAGACTCCGTCAAGTCCATCATGGAGCGTTTGTAGCTTTTAGAATCTTTATTGTTTTGGTTCTAGAATTGTAGCATCTTTTCTTGTGATCAAACTTGTGAATGATTTGAAGGTTGACTGGTGTGATTCTCATGTCACTCTAATTTAGGCTACCTTTAGTTTAATCTCCTTTGGTGATCAATGCGAATTGATGTTGGTGCAATTCTGTGTCACAGTTTGGTGATTAATGAAAATTGATGTTGGTGCAGTTGTGTGGCACTGGCAGTTCTGATGCTTTCCCTTTTTAAGTTTGTATTTCTCAATGAGAGATCTAGTATCTTTGTTGCAAAAAAAAAAAAAAAAATCTGAAATTGTGGAGCTGTGAAAAGGACAATGCTATAAGCTCCAACCGCCCACTGATGGTGAGGACAGAGGATCTCCTGCCACACTATGTGCATCCAACCCAAAAGATCCTGCTTTTGCTCACGGTTACCACCATACCACAAGTCCACCCAAACCATAAAAACCAGTGTGGCAACAATGAGAGCTAAAGCTTCCAGGCTCTGAATCATCAGGATGTCTGTGCCAGCATCAGCCCAGGTGCCTCAGCCTCACACCATACGACCTGTTGGGAGCTGCTTTAGGTTGCATCAACTATCTGCGCAGAATTTGGACCGATGTGAGTTCTCATTCTCAGCTTTGGCCTTCTTTTTGAAGTGTATGCATGTTGAATACAGATTCTAGAGTCCCTTGTGTTTGTGTAGATCGCAGATGGTGGGGGACTGGAAAGAAGATGATTCTTTCCACTCGTGGTGTGCTTGAATCCAGCAATGGTGCACATTCTAGTGGCCTTATGAAGAAAAGGTGAGTTGTTTTGTAAGTGTTGCATTACCAAATCACTTCAAATTTGTAAAATTGTTGCCCAGAAATTGACACTGTGAAAGTATCATATTTACATCAGTGTTCTAAATTCTGCATACTGTCACCTCATGCCCTGGACTATGCAAAGCTGTAGTAGACAGCTGATCTAGTACACTTTGCAGAAATATTTTGGAGCACATTATTCTGCTTAGAGCCAAGCCAAACATCTCAGATGCTGAAGAAAGAGATATGCTGGACTACCTATATACATCACAGTATCAGATGAGAGGGATACTCTGTCTCATTAGGTTAGGCTTATATACACTTCAGCTGCAGAATCAGTTAATAAGTATAAACTTCAATTTGGTATTTGTGATATATTGGATGCAGGCTGCATAGAGGACCCCAACAGGGAGAATTTCACACATGCTGTCTTCACGCGTTTTCAGCAGAAAGAAGACATCACAAAGTTCCAGAGTAGTGCATACTATTCGAAAATTGTTGATGAGCACGTAAAACCTGTTTCCTATGTATGCCTCAGTATGTAATCTTCTTTCCAGTTCTTACACCATACTGATTCTCTATGCTCATAGCACTGTGATAGACACTGCTTGGATAACTTACAGGGCTCGGTTTCTGTAGATTTCGAGTCCGAGGTGGAAGATGACATTATACCTATCTTTCGTAGGGGAGAGGTAACTCAAGCTACCTTTTCCTGGCGTAAATCGACACCATTCTTTAGGTATGTAAAAAATGTCCCAATGCCATTTTTGCACTAAAACCGAAATGTTGTTTCCTGTGGCAGGATTTTAACTACGGTGTCGAGTTCATGCTGCTGATATCTTTCTTTTAAGACTGCATCCGGAGAGGCAACGGAGGATGCATTAGCTTCTCTTCAGAAGTTGATCAGCCAATGCAGTTCTTTTACTGTGCAGGCAACCTGCAGTAAGACAACATGATATCCTTATGGTTCTTCGGTCACATTGCCACTGCGACTGCGATTCTGTACACGATTGCTAAGGCTGAAGACATATAACCTATTTATCCTGTTCCACATAGATCGTCATTAACATGTACATTTTTTGTTACAAGCACTTTTTCCAAAATCTCATGGAACTGCTTCTAATGTTATATACTTTTATTTTGTATCAGGCTGCTGTTTGGATCATCCTGATAGCGGATACAGTCATGCTGCACTAATCCGTTTCCCATCATGTTAGTGAGCTATAAATTCTCTCTCATCCTATGCATGTCAGAATCTCTGTGTATAAGTTAGCAGCATGTTAGAGCTATGGTTGCTTGCTCAATTTATTGTATCACGCAGTTGACGACTTGAAGCTGTTCAGGGAGAGCATGGAGTACAAGGATGTAAGAATTCTGCTCACACGGATTTCAATTTGAGTTTCCTGCCTGGATCTGCATACCACATTCTACTAACCCAAAGTAAATTAAAACTAGAAAAATACAAGATAGAGGCTTACATACAGAATATGATGGTGCAAATGCAGGGTTGGATTCCAACTCTGAACTGAAGCAGGATGTGTTTGGTCTGTGAGTTGCAGATGTGGGCATCGAAGTTCCACCTGGTCGTGGAGAGATCCCTCCACCTGCATTTCACCGTTGACCCCGTGGGGAACCAGCTGATCTAGACCGAGCAAGCGATGACTGGCATTCTGCCCTGACTACCCTGAATTTGCTACTTTGCTACGTGCCTACGTGGTCGGGGTTGTTTGAGCCGCTGCAGCCTGCAAGCCTCAATGGAATCTCCAAGTTGGACAAGAAAAAACAGATGAACGCCGATAACCTCACTTGAAACAGATGTCATCAGGCATGTGCGGTGGTAGTTCGGTACAGAGTTCAGGACAACAAACAGTAATCTGACTGAGATGCAACAAACAGTAATCTAACGGTGGGTGTGACTCGGTGGAATGGACCACAGGACCAGGTAAGCTGCTCGTCACCATCCTGATTCCTTTCCACAAAGGAGAACTCGTCCAAACGCATAGATTTCGATCCAAGACGTCCTCCCAAGCCGGTTTTGTCACTGGTCGGTGCCCATGCCCATGCTAGCTCTCTGACTGTGTAGTTGGAGTATTTCTGTGTCGCTTTACTATTAACTAACGTCGCCAGAAATGGAAGAAAATCAACCGCGCTAGCTAGAATAGAATGACCGGTCGACGGTGAGGTGTCGTGTTGAGGGATCGGCAGCGTCTGCTCCTCGGTTTCACTTTCACTTTCACCACGACACCACCCCGTCCCGTCGTTCACGTTCACGCGCGGTGACAAGGATTTCACCGCGGTAGACGTCGGGCGGGCGGTGAAATCAGAGGAGGGTCCCACGTGTGGCGTTCAGGCGTTTGTTTGCCATTGTAGTAGTCGGTCTGCCGTCCAAAGGCGGTTCAGCAGGGCAAGCCACACGGGCGCCCAGGATTTTCAGATGGGTGTGGTGCCCTCAAATTTGATCGAAACTTGAACTTCCTGTGTAACCGGAGCGCACCGAGTAGATCAGAGAAGAAAGCCGGCGCCATATATATGATGATGTTTCCAGATCTTGATGGAACTTTCTTAGTACTAATAATTATTAGAACTATATAATTTATTTACAAGTTTACTTCTACCTCTGCTTGGTGTTGCAGGGCGGCACCTACGGTACCTTTCTATGTTCATTAAAAGGTGCAGTAGTAAACCTCCTGGTTGCCTCCTTGGTGTGTGTTGATCATCTACATAATATCAATAAAGGCGTGCTTAATCGCAAAAAAAAGGGTGTGTTTGGATGAGACCCTGATAGGTTGGAACCAGGAACCTCGGCCAGCGGACCTCAGGCGTCCATAATCGGGCGCCTAGGAATGATGCCTGCGCCAGGTATGTTTTGTCTCGGCCGTCAATCGGAACACGACCTAATATATAGCATGTAGCGCAGCAGCAAGCAGCAGCATAAGTGATAAAAAACAGACGCAACCAGCCTCAGAGCCAGATGCAATGATAATAGCATGTTGCCTCACCATGATTTATGATTTTTAGGACAAATCAGTTCTTAATAAAAACCTATGTACCTTTATTTATTGAATGGTAAACCGTGCTAATGAAAAATAAGCCCTTTATTACAAGGAACATATAGAGACATGCAGACCTGATATGGGCCAAATCTATATTTGTAGAGCTAAAACATCCAAGTTGTGTGGGACATTTTTTTTTAAATCCTAGAACATCAAGTTTTCTGGTACGAAGGGAGTATCTTAACCAATTGTCTAGGGAAAAAATTCAGCTATAGGGTATTATAGCCAAAACTATAGTTCCCCAATGAAGTTACCAAAATTGTCCTAACCAAATCTAGTCCTACATCCAAAGAGCTAGAACATGCTCATATTGCATATTGATTGATATGAAGCGAATTGTTAGGATGGTTCTCTCAAGGTTTTACCGAGAAGGGTAAATATCACACTTTAGGTGGTAAAGGATGGCTAAGTTTGCGAGCGTATGAAATTAAATTGTATTTACATGGACTCTTAATTGCAGTTTTTTTTTCTTTGCAACTCGTATGAAATTAAATTGCCATTTTTAATTATTTTTAGAATTTACTATTTATTACTAATTATATTAGCTATAGACTTTTTTGTTTAATCTAAGCCTATATCAAGTTAAAATCTGAGGGTGTAGATTCTTTATGTTTTTTTTCAATTAATGTGGTAATTTCTGGATCCTCTCGTGAACATCGTCCCTCTTGTTTTAATACCATTGTATAAACCTAATGGGTGTAACACCTCTGATGTTTTGACCTAGCATTAAAACTTGACATGTCATCATATGCATTGCAAAGCATTCATAAAGTAGGAAATTTTGAATGCATTCACTAAATAAGCTTTATTTCATAGTTGTTATTTTATGTGATGTAATGTGATCCAAAACTCTAAATAAAGATCATGACCACAAGGGTCAAATTTCATGTGATCATGTGAGACCATGTGTCATTTGACTTAAATAACCCTAATGGGCCATGTAATTGGCCAAAAACCATAATTAAGTAAAAATGTGAACAAATCAAATTGAATTCAAATTCAAATTATAAAAGTCATTTTTGCCCCTTTTGTCTATTTCAAAATCCATTTGGAATTTGGGGGTGTGACAAAAAGCAAAGTTGAAGCTTATTTTATAAGGATCAACTTTGGTATTCAAAGTTTTTAAAGTTTACATATAAAATTTAGAGTAATTTTGAAGTGATTCAAATGCTCAAATGCACCTCAAATTCAAATTTCAAAATAGAGGCAGAATTTGAAAATGTTCATTAAAGCAAAGTTGTAGAGTTTGAAAAGTTGAGCAACTTTCATTTTTGGAGATTTTCAACTTCTTTAGAAAAATTGTGAATAATTTGCAAAATAAACTCAGTGGCAATTCTGTAATTCTTCGGAACAGTAGCACGACCACCGCCCCACCGCCGGCGTCCTTTCTCTGGTCTTCCAGACGCGCCCGTGGCCGCCCTCGGCTTCGCGCTGGCATGGGATGCTCACTGCGTGTCGTCCCCTCGCTCTCTTGGCTGCGCTATAAAGCTCCGACGCCGTCGTCGGCTTTCTTTTCTCTCCTTTGTTTCCCGACGCCGCCGCCTCAGCTCCGTCGAGCTCCCCTCGACTCCTCAGCGCAAGCCAGTCTCGGCAAAGCAGTGTTCTAGCACCGTCTCCTCCTTGCGAACCCATCCCACCAACTGTGATTGTCTGAGTCCATCGAGAACCGCCGCTAGCGACCCTTCTTCCTCGTGGCCGGCGACCTCACCCGAAGTTCCGTTTCACTGCGGCCAGCGTCATTCGGTGAGCCGTTGCCCTTGCTTGTTGTCTCTACAGCTTCGTCTAGATGTTGTGGCGCTTAATCTGTTCTTGCTTGGTCATTTTGCCCACTGCAGTCGCCGGAACACCGTCGTCGACGAAGTCTGCTCCGCCGTGATCACTATCACCGTCGAACCGCGTCACCGTAGCTTCTCTGGTCTCGCTCATTGCTTCAACACGTTCGGGGTGAGCTACTGATGTTTCTTGGACTCTTTGTTTCACCGTTACCGGCCTTGTTCCGCCGGCGTAGCGTTGCCGTGCTGCCACATCCGCCATGGCCGGTGTTAGCCTTGTTTCGTGTCGTCATTAACCTCCGTAGTGCCACAGATCGATGCGCCTAGTCTTTGTGAACGTTTTGGTACTTTGGCCATCGCCGTTGGGCTCACCGTCGACGAGTTAGCGTCGGTCAGCGCCGTCGTCGCGGTCAAAGCCGAAGGTTAGGGATGACAAGTGGGTCCCGTATGTCAGCGACTGTGTAGTTCAAATGGAATTTTTCTATTTTCAGAAATGGATGAATAGTGTCTGTTTTTGTTATTTTTGTGTAGATTTATTTAGAGCTCCAAAAATTATGAAAAGTTTTGTGTGACCTCTCTGTGATGAATATTATTTAGGAAAAATATGAAATCTTGATTTACAGTACTTTTTGAATGTGATGAAAATTGCTCAGTTAATTGATAAATGTAATTTCCATAATTTTTGTAGGCCACTGTATAACTCCAAAAATTATGAAATTTATTTTGGTACACTAATTTGTCATGAGGAAGCTTTCATAAAATTTTGAGGTCATTTGGAAAAAGTTCATTTTGAGCTCAATTCCAAATTAATTCAAAAATGCATAAAAGCAAACCCTAAGTGTTAGGTTAGAAGTTTGATCTTGTTTTGGTCATGTTTTGTGACCAGTAAGGTTTCAATATCAATTTGGTCAAGTCACTTAGGTTATAAGCCCTAGGTCATTAAAGTTTGGTTAGAGTTTAGTTAATGAATGATTTCGTTCATTAAAGGTAGAACTTTGGAGTGAAACTTTGAGTAGTTCTTTAGA